TGCAATTATCCTTAGCTTCTACAATGATCATTCATGCAGCTGTGTGGAGAATCAATTTAGAAAGGAGGTACTGCATTCCAGAATACCTTCTGATGCAGCCCACACAATAAAGAAGTAGAATAATATTAGTAAGAACAGAAACTTTAGCTCACTCAATATATTTAGTGTCTTGCACCACGGTAAGAGCTATAAGTGGTGTGTTCTTTTTCTTTTGTATAATTCAACAGACTTGTAAGACAGTTCTGCCCTTCCTGCTCGCCTTCATTCTTCCCTTCAAAGAAAGACATCCAGACAACACATCTAAGGCTTCTAAGGTTGAACCAAACATTTAAGCACGATAAGGCTTTCAAGTTGACATATCACAACAGGGTTATTGGGAGCAAGGTGTGTCTTGATTCCATCATAACATGTGCAATGGTCCTAACTCAGGGGAAATGTAAGTGGTATTCAAGTGTTATATATTAAGGGTTGGGTAACACATGCGGCATCATCTTCTAGAGGACAAGGAGAACAGAGACCTCCTGAGAGGCATGCCTGTATAAAGTCTGAAAACAGAATATATTTTTTCGTGCTACAGTTAACTTTAAAACAAAGTTTCTGTTGGAAGGATCCTGAAGAAGAGCAATGATGGAGAATAAAGTATATATTGAATTGATTTAGCTTTAATCCTACAGGACTTTAGGAAAAGATCAACATGCTCATTCTTTAAGTAAAACTCTTTGATGAAATAAAAAAATCGATTTCTAGCTTCCTTCCTTTTCAAGTGTCATCTCTGCTGCTTAAAATATCTTTCCACATTTATCTATTCATAACACCCAACTTCTCTTTCAAGTTTTAGATAAACTATATGTTCTTTGTGAAGCCAGATTCTGTGGTTTTCACAGAACACAACCATGTTTGTAAGGTATAAACTGTGTTAATGTTGTCATGCTTGACAGTGAGCCACAGCTGATACAGGTTTACTTAACTGCACATGAAGTACCTGGTTCCTAAAATTAAGCAGAAATTTATTGTTCTAAATGAAGCACAGTCATCTCATTTTATTAGTGTGTATACTATAGATATAGTTGGTCAGGGCCATAAAATATTGTGACAGATAAATTTATCTCTTTAAATATCAGATTGATGATGAAACAAAACTATTGATTGCTTCCGGGAATTGTCTTATTTAATATTGTGTGTAGACTCAGTGATATTGCTTTTTGTCTGATATATCTCAGTATGAACTTTAAAATGTATATAATTCATTTTTTTTTGTTTTTAGAGACAGGGTTTCTCTGTATTGCTTTGGAATCTGTCCTGGAACTGGAACTCAACCTGTAAACCAGGCTGGCCTCGAATTCACAGAGATCCACCTGTCTCTGCCTCCAGAGTGCTGGGATTAAAGGCATGCTCCACCAAGGCCTGGCTAAAATGTATATAATTCTTATGTCATTTTGTGATTAGATAGGTATTTTGTAATACATCAATATGTATTAGTAATTGAAAGCGTTACAATAAATAAATAAATGACTGAAAGAAAAGAATATAACTCTTATTTGTTACAGTAACAAAAATAATCTTTTTATTAAAATTTTATTTGCTCATTTTACAAAAGATAAACATTATAATGTTTTTCTTGGCATCTCATCCATGTGTTCCTTCCATCTGTTTCTTTTATGCAAAAAAACTAAGCGGCTATCCAATTTTATTTTGATACGGTGATCTGACATTTTGAGAATTTAAACATTATAACTGTCAAGTTGATATAAATTCTAATCATTAAAATTTAATGATGGCAAATTTGGAAACTTATGCTTTCATCAAACTATAAAGAACAAGAATTTGTGTTTTAGTATGAAGAGAAATCAATTCCCCATTAAATCTGATTTATATTTTTATATCTAATACTCTATGCTTTCTTATTCCTGTGTGACATGGAATCCCATCTCCAAAATTTCATCACCTTTCAGAAGCATGCAAATATCCACCATAGATTCCCCTCACTGTTAGAGTACTCTTATTACCTGTGTTCACATCTGCATATGTTTCCAAGACAAATAATGGATGGTCAAAGATTAGAAAAATAAAACATCTGAACAATAAAAATGTACCTAGCTGTATTTATTGAGTATTCTTCTACTGAATACTGTTTTTGAATAATGTTGACATGGAAATTTTTAAAAAGAAGTTGTGTACCCAATGACTTTCATTTAAAAACTAGTCTGTGCTTGTCCCCAATGGGATGTCACAAATGCGAGCCATGAAAGTTAGGCGAACATTGATAAAGAAGTAAAAAGATGAAGAGTCAGAGATTCAGGCACAGTACTGCAGAATTGCCATACGAAAGTCACTTGGATGCCTGCACAAGACATTCTTAAGAACATGCCACTCTTCAGAATGGGATAGTGGGTTGGAGGTGCTCAGGAGCTCCCAGCTCTAGCTGACAAGTTTCTGGCAGTCGGTGGATCCTGGGGGAAAGTTTCAGTTTTCTTCTGTAGTTTCTCCTGATAGATTGCCCATGTTCCAGTCAAAACCTTTGCATGCATACATAAACAGGCATAACTAACTGGACTCAGTGGGTAATTAAAGAAATAGAAAGAGAGAGGGATGGGCTGGAGAGATGGCTCAGAGGTTAAGAGCACTGGCTGTTCTTCCAAACGTCCTGAGTTCAATTCCCAGCAACCACATGGTGGCTCTGAGCCATCTGTAATGAGATCTGGTGCCTCTTCTGGTCTGTGGGCATACATGCAGGCAGAACACTGTATACATAATGAATATAAATAAATCTTTATTTAAGTAAAAGAAAGAGAGAGGGAGAATGCATAGAGGGTGCGAGACATAGAGGGTGAGTTCAGAGACAATTGAAGGGATGGATGTAGATATGCCCATATTTCAATATATGCATGCATGAAATTCTCAAAAATTAAAAACAAGAAAGTATAGAAATCCCTCAGAAGCAAGACTTGCCCAGTGATATTCTTGGACTTAATCTGAAATTACATAGCCATTCACCAGTTCTGAGTATTACTTTCTAGTTTCCTCCAGTTAGAGAGTACAGATATTTCTAAAACACAAACACAAAAAAGGTATGTATTGTAAAAAACAAAAGTAGTTAAGTTCATTTACAAGGTTTTGAAGGGAATTGAAATTCAATTATAGTTGTAAAAATGATTTTCATTTAAAATAACATGCAGCATATTCTAATGTGAAAACTTGTATCGGTCTTGTTATATATACTCTCAGCTGTTCCAGGAGAATCATGCATTTCTTCACACCCTTCTCCTCAGGAATTGTCTGTGCATGGTGAATTCTCTTTGGCTTTGCTTCTTAACAAAGAAGAATTGCATTTAATATCTTATATATAAATGTAGTTTCCATTCACTCCAAAACCTCCCATTTCCTGATTAATTTTGTCACTGTTATATGCACTTATTATTAAGGTGGTAATTTAGTCATTTGTTAAGTCATAGCATAGGTATTGTTTAGCAAGCTATCTTATACTTAAAATATCTGTACATGTTTGTAATAAAATGTTTCTGTCTGAACCATCTTTTGTACTAGCATTTACATACGTATTTTCTGTTTCCCATGGAAACTACTAATGTCAGCCTCTTCCTTGTACCTGAGCAACAGTTTAAGGTGCTTTAAATGCTTGTGGAGGCTCCTCTCTTCTTCCATTTCCCTATCATTTCCTAACATGAATTAGCAAGCATATAGTAAGTCCCCACTAGATGTCAGACAATCTCTGAATAATTTCAGTCTTCTGAAATCTCCGCATACAGTGAGAAGAAACTGACAAGAAAGACTACAGGATGTGAAGTAGATAATTTTCTATACTGCACGTTAAAAGCATTGAAGTAGCCAACTTCTAAATACTTCCTAGTTGGAGCTAGTTTATGTATGTTTTGGCTGTAGATGTCCAGTTTTCCTTAATGTTTCCACATAATAGATTAGTTCACTGAGATGATTCTCATTTCATTATGCATTGCTGAATCCGTAGCCACATGATGGCTAAACAATTACTGTTCCAACTAGTTACCTCCCATGTACTTGCTGTTTTAAAGTACCATTTCTACAAGATACTGCATTATTCAAACAAAGGACATTTTAAACAAGTCTGTCAACTGTCATTCTTCCAATCATTTTTAAACCATTGAATGCCTGTCATCTTCCCAATCCTGTCTGCTATTCTGTGGCTAAAATGGTGCCCATTCAAAGGATGGCACTAGGGAAGAGAGAATTTAGTATCAAAAATGAGTACTGGAATGTAAGGGCTATAGATGCAATAAGAACAGGGAAGACATAAGCTTCAATATAAAAGTTAAAGTTACCTTGTTGTGTATTTAGATAGTTTCTTATTAACTTTTTGCTTCTTTCAACAAAGCTGTATGCTAACAAAGAAAATGTAAGTTTAAGGGATTTTGGATGGTATCTTGATGTATTATTTTAAGTTATTTCTTATGTGATTAACACTGCTTTCAAATGGGTGGGTGCATTTTTTTAAGTGAAATAAATGTTAACTTAGTAGAAGATATGGGGGGCTGGAAAGTGTTATGAATGGTCTAGAACATTCATTGCTTTTCCAAAGGTCATAAGTTGAGATCCTAGAACCTACATACGGGGGCTCACTGTTCTCTAAACCCAGCCCCAGGGCATTCATAACGGGATCCAAAGGATGCATTCAGTGCAAGAGTGAAGAGTGCATGCATTCCCAGGTGGGGCTCCTTAAACCTTAAAGAAAGAAAAGTGTTGGGCCCCAGCCCCCAAGGTTTCTCTGTGAGTTGCTTGTCAGCCAATAACCACAGGTGCATCCTGTTTTCTAGTCCTGGTTTACAGACTCTGCCTTGCCCCACTGGCATCAACCTCTAATTATGAAAACATGAACTCTTACACCTGGGGTTTCTCCACTGTGCTGTAAGTCTTTACATATGGCTGCTCCCTCCTTGCAATAAAGAGACACAGATGCACACACGCATTCTCTTAGCACAAATGGTTGGATGTCTTGTCTTTCATTTAAGTCTCCAGGGTTTTGCCTGATACATTAGACTTTCTGGTGGTGCCGGCGACACAGAAAAGATAGTGAAAAAAAAATGACGATGTAGAGGAGGAAAATACGCAGAAGGAAGAACACAGGGAGGATGAAGATATTGAAGACAATCAGTAAATGAAGGGTGCTCTACGTTTCCTCCACCAGATACAGACAAGTGTTACAAAGCTGTGGAATATATAAATAATAAAATCGACAATGTTAAAAATGATTTAATCTCTAAAATATGACTTTGGTCTCTAATTTCATTATTGAATTTTCATTTTCAATACCAAAATATAATTTTGGAAGATTAATTCCTGTCTATGTAGTCTACATTCTGTTTGATTTTGTGTTTGTTGGCATTCATTCCATTTAGAATGTTTCATTTTGTTTATTATTCTTCAGTCATATTCCAGTCATAATCCACATTGCTGTTACTGCCCCTTGATCATATGTGAAGGAGACAATCTATGTTGCCAGGATTTGTGTGCCAGGGTCTTTTGTCTGGGTGTGACATGTCCTTACCTTTTGAGAATAATTACTTCCCAAGAACAACCTCTGTGTCTTTGTTCCCAGCTCTGACACTCACTTCTTCAGCTAAGATCAAGTGCCACTATTTGTGCTTCTAAGAAAGAGGGAAGCGTTAACAGCCTTGCTGTTCCGATTTATTTCGCCCATTAGTCACCTTGACAACAAATATTTCCAAGCTTATTGCTGTGTCTTGCATCCCCTGATTCTCTCTACGTGGTATGTTTGGTGATCTTTGTGTTTTGTAATAAAGATAATTTCTGTGTGCCCTCTGAAGTTTCTTTGCCTGGTTTGCTATGCACCTCTCTTTCTGAACTCCAGGGCTGCTCTAGGTATTTCTGAATATGTCTGTCGAGGGATCAGCTTGTATTCACTCCTCAGCATATCTGTGCATTAATTATCATGTTTCCAATAGGCATGCTAGAGTCACAGACTGCTGTGACAAGCAGAGTGTACATTCTCCTCAATTTATTACGTTATTCTAACAGTTTCATTATCATTACCATCCAAATACTTAATATATACTCACATTAATCTGAACACTCTGTATGTTGTATTTTTATGTTACTCAGCTTAGTAATGATAGCTTTTCCTAATTTAGATATGTTTCTTTTCTTGAACCCAATTCCATTCCTCAAATAGTAGCATAAACATTCCAACAGTGATTCTATGTAAAACCACAGTGCTCTTTTCCCACTTTTCCCTCACCTTCTTACATTTTAACTTCTTTTCTAAACTCATGTTTAACAATTTGGAGTATTTTGCCTATGAATATTATTAAAGTCTCTACTTAAGAATTCCATACTCTGCATTACAAAGGAAAGAGGTTTGTTTTCATCTAAAAAGTCCAAACTTGGGTAGTGATTCTGTGTCAGGATCCTCCGACCAGCAACCAGATATGGCTGCCTCACGTACTCATAAGAGAAGATGTGACTCAGCCCTCATAGAATGTATGTGACTGTGGACCACCCTGCTACCTGCCAAATTCCAGAAACAGACCTGTGGCTTATCTAGGTCGTAGGCTTAAACAATAGAAGGTAAAATGTGAAAGATAAAGTTAGAATCTGCAGTGAGGTTACCAGAGGATACAGGATGACCTACCCATCCCACTAACCTTTACTCTGCCAGACTCGTTGCAGCCGAAGCACACCCCCATTCCTTTCTCTCCTCCCTTCCCCTATATAAACCCCTTTGGGGTGAAATAAAGTTGTCGCATTGATCAGAAAAAAAAGTATTCCATACTCAACAATTTTTAAGTCTATCTCATTGTGATATTTCTTTGAAATTCACTTCAGTGATCATTTCCTTCATTAAAATATCCACCTAATAAAAATATTACAAAGGAGATATGAAGTTTCCTGTAAAGTATAAATTAGGCTTGATTTTTCTATCAGCATGTAATAATTCTTAAGAATAGCATTTCTCTAGGTGATGAACAAGGCTCTTTATATTTTCCACTCATCTATTTCTGATTCTTTGCATTTACCAAACTTACAGTTCTTCTATTTCCTTCCCCATGCTATTTTTAGTGTTCCTGACTGTGTGTTCACAGGTCGCAATGGGTACATTCAGTCCCCTCAAGGTATGAATCAATATTTCCCCCAAATAGCTTTAATCCAGTACTTCTTGAATGCATACATGAAGACAGAACCCAGTGCTGAGAATGGAAACTCCTAGCTCCATATCTTAAGCTCTCCTTTCTTGTTGTTTTCCATGTGTCACTTCTAGGTAATAGCTCTTCACAATAAATAACCAATCCACTGGTTTTAGCATTCTCATTGCAATTATTTTATTAAGGAATACTCAGTAGATATTACATTTATTCTTCCCTCTTAAAGGTAGATGAAACTCTGAGCTATATAATGTTATGGTACCTTCCTTGTTAAGATGTTCTGTTTTGGTAATTTTATGCATTTTAACTTAATATGTAGGTGTACTGTTCAACTCTTAAATTATTTTCTCTATTTCCTAAAATTCCCAATAATCACATTCCTTCTCATAGGTTAGCACAGAGGCGTGTTTCATAATTGTCCACTCTTAATTTACATTTGTTGTTTATATGTTCTCTTGCAAAAATTTTTTACCACTTTTGTATAACAGAAAGTAGCTCATGGTGAGTTTTATGTTCAAAGCAAAATTGAGGGGCCAATACAGGTAATTTTCATATAGTCCCTTCCCATGAAAACTGGCCATCTCCACTCTCAACATATTTAAGTGCCACTTGTGTGAAAGCAGATGATGTAATAATGATATGCAATCATCAGCAAAGTTTACCATGGGATTTTAAGAAAGCTTAAATGACAGATATCCACTCTGACAATAGTGAAAGGTCAGTTTCATTGTTTTTAAATACATAAGCTCTACTTACCCCTTTCTCTTGTCCCACCTATATAATCTAATTTTTGATATTTTCATTCTTTCCTTTCTGGTTTCGCAGTGTACAGAATGCTCAGGTTGGCACCTTTCACTTAGTAGCAAACATTACAGGATTGTGTGTTTTCATATGTTTGTGGTTTGTTTAAGTTGGACTATCCCTCACTCCATTGCCTGTTTGTACTTATTCATCTGTTGTAGACCAAATTGCCACAAATATCTGTGTAGGCTTTGCTTGGTGTGATTTTAACCAATTTGGTTAATACTAGTACATGATGGTTCATATGGAAGATGCTTTCATTTTGTGAGAAGCTTCCATATTATCTTCCAAAATGCTTAGAATGCTTTTTATTCCTAAAATGACACATATGACAGTACATGAGCTTTTCCTTGGAGTATATTTTTGTTCTGTGAAAACAGTATATTTTTTTCCTGTTAAGAATTGGTCAGAACTTATCATAATCATATGTTAATGTTACATTGGACCTTGACAAACTTTACTACCTTGTATTCCTTGATAAAGGCTGCAGCTGTCAAGTGTAATGACAGCAAGCAGCTAAACTCCCCCATTACCAATTGTTAGCAACCCTGTACTTAGGCACAACAGCAACTGCCCCAGGTAAGAGAGTTTCAGGTCAGATCCAGAGGTCATTACTGTAATTCCCACAGCCCTGGAACCAGGCAGAGCAACATTCTACCTCTTAAGAAATTTCATTAAGGTCTCCTACAATTGCAGTTTCAGTCTAACTGCATTTGTGGAAAATCTGGAGATTCCCAATCAAACTAACACTTTCTCCAAGTTCCAGGGAGATGGCATTATGACAGTCAAGGTTCCTTTAATGCCTCACACTTCACATCTATTTCCGTTGTGGAAACCATCATAATATTACTTAAGCCGTAGTCTCTGACCAAAACTAATTAACAAAACAAAACAAACAAAAAAACAGTTGGGACTTTGGGAGACACTGCCTTACGGATAGTCCTGCCAGACACCATATATAGACTCCAAGAGATTCTAGTTCTACCTGCAGAATGTTTGTCAGCTTCACCTTATGACTAAGCAAATGCCTTCCCGCTGCTCTCACCTATGTGCCCATTTTACACTGGCAACACAATCTCCCTGACTCAGGACAGGCTTGTCAATGAGCCTATGAAGAATGATTAAGACTACTGGACCTCTCACAACAGATTGCTTCCTGTTGTGAATGCAAAAAAAACTGTGTTATATAAATTATCAAAGTATAGCGGGGTGAGGAATGCACCTGTAATCTGCACACATGGTGAAGCTGAGTCAGGAGGATTACAAATTCCAGATCATCATGAACTAATCAGTCAGTTCTTGTTCTAAAAATGTAAATGAATAAATGCAATAGCAGGTCAAGATTATTGGTCAAACTGAATCTCACTTTCTAGTTAATGATGGTCTGACTGTCCTCAAACATGAGCTCCAAAACCTTCTTTCTTCTGAGTAATGGAATGGGAAGTGTGTGTGTGTGTGTATGTGTGTGTGTATACCCTGGTTCCCCCAGTTGTTTCCACAGCAGCTTCTGTCTGAGGCAAAGGAAGTGGACACATACCCTTAGTTTGTTCTTACCTTCAAGAACCAGGACCTTTGGATAAAAGGCCCTACAGGCACGAAGAGTTGCTTAGAAATCAGTTGAAATATGCAGAGTCTTTAAAGGTCAAGGTTTGTCTCAATTTCTAAGACTGGGAATCAGGAGAAGACAAAACATTCCAGAGAAACAGAATGTGTGAGACATTCAAAACAAGCAGTAAAGTCTGTAACAGAATTCCTCAGTCATAAAGATTTGTCTTCATTAATTCCCCTATATGTTTTTCCATTGTTATGAATATGATCTTTTGTATGGTAGGAAAATACTACTGAACTTTAAATCCAGATCCCAAACAATGTTCATTTTAAAGATTAATTGAACATGTCGTTGAATTTTAAAATAATGTATTTAAAAAATAATTGCTTATCATTGAAATAAATATCTTCTAGCTGTATTTTAAAAATTAATGTTACTCTATTTTAGCTTAGTTTATTTAATGGGTTAAGTAATAATGATAAAGAAAAAAGCCTCATTGATAGTTTTTATTTAGTGTGCAAATTCAGATATGATTGCTCAGTTCAATTTTAAATTTTCTGTG